CAAGTAACTGGCCAGCTGTGTCTAGCTGAACATAGTCAGTCATCAGACATGCAAAGTAGGTGTGCAGTTATGCACACACTGTTTTAGAAACCAGGCCCACAGTGGTTCTCTGCAGGTTGCAACAATGTCCATTGTATTCCATGGCTGCAGTACCAGCCGGAGTATTTCCAGCCTCTGCATCTCTTGCAGAGTGTTTTGGGACATTTGAACTGCATAACTGCTTATCCATGGCCTACATCTTTCTCTGCCCCAGCCTACATGTGGCTACACAGAGATGCCTTCTGCTACATATAGCAAATAAGGAGGCACCCCCTACAGAGCTTCTCAACCTCAACCCCTGTTGCAGGCCCCTTTCGCGCCTCAGAAGAATTTAACCCTTTATGAAAGAGCAGCAAATTCCATCTGCTGCCTGTTGCAGAGTCTATAGAAAGACTTGTTCCCTCTAACTCCAGAGCCCTCTAGAAATTATCAGTCCCAGGTAGAACAAAATACAGCTCCAGCCAAAAGAACTGGTTCCTTCTGCTTATAACTTAATGCATTGGAGGGAAATCCAGGAGCCTGCATCCAGAAAGACACAAACGGTTCTCTGGACACTTGATCATTTTAGCCTCTGGTGGCAATTTGTCCTTTCATTGTAAAACAGGTGGGTTTTTCCACTCAATCTTGAAAAAGATTCTGGTTTTATATACACAGAAAACTGAAATTGCAAAGCAAATCCCTTTGCAGAAATGCCTGGAGTTTATTTTACTTAGATACCAATCCCAACTGCAAAACACAGTGGTGCTTATCACTCAACAGGATTCAATGTCCATCAACTCAAATCTTACCCTTTAAGCATTTTGGTTGGGGGTGGGGGGTGTCAGAGGCACGATGCTAGCCTGGGTGGACTCATCCTGTACTTTATTTCTTTAAAAATACTTCCCACACAAAAAATCCCACTTTTAGAAAATATAAAAGCACACAATGCCACCTGGTCCGACACTGCCCATACATGTTCTTCAGGATACACTGCAAAGCTTGTATACATTTTACTGAGGCTTTTGGCAAGACATACCTGGGGTCTGATGTCTGGGAAGAAGTGGCGCACTCTCAAATGCTGGGTTTAGCTGGTTGTGTGTGTCATGGCATCTGACTGCTAGATTTGTATCTGCTGTGATGTGCATTAAGATATGCACAAAACATGGCTGAATTGACCTCATTGGGTCCAAAATGTCACTCTTAGAGCCTGCGAGAGGTACGTTTTTATAGGACTGTTATAAATCTAAATACACAATATTATCCAACATTATAGGACTAGATCTGGCAATTCCTAAGGCCCAGGATGCATTAAGAAGCCTGATATGAAATGAGAGTCTGCCCGGTTATGCAGACATCTATGTACAGCATCTCTTTCAGTCTGATGAAACAATCGTCTGCCCAACTAATATCTTACTGATCACAAAAATTAATTCCGTATCTCTTTCCGATTCCAAGGCTTGGGGTCAGGGCTTCAAAAATAAGATTTTTAACAGACCTCTTTCAATTATGGAGAAAGTACCACCACAGAACATCTCCATTTCTGTGTAACTTTGCAGCCAAATTTAGCGGAGATGTCAATCCCCATGCTTCAGGGCATAAGATGATCTCATCGTCTGCGGTAGGTGAAGATATTTCCACACAAAGTAGACTAATGTACAGCTATGTTTGGTATCTTCTAAATCACCAGACATTGGTTACCAACAAAGACAACATTAACTAGATGGATCATGGTCTGTTGTGTTATGGCAATTCATATGGACAGACAGGTGGACAGGATCAGATCCTGACTGCACATTTTAGTATTGAGACAGAAGGTGAGGGAGGGGATATCTTTTGTTGGACCAACTTCTGTTGGGGAGAGCTTTCAAGCTTACACTAAACTGACCCAAAACCGAGCTCTGTGTGGCTTGAACACTTGTCTCTCACCGACAGACATTGGTTCAATAAAAGATATTCCCTCCCCAACTTTGTCTCTAATATCCTGGGACCAACAGGGCTATAGCAACACATCATACAACTTATTACTAGTCGATGTTCTTAGAACAGTTAATAAGGCAGCTTTAATCTTTTGTTGTGATGCAAGATAAGGCTGGAGTCAGCTTCCTGAGGACAACAGCTACTGAATACTTTCCTTTCTCAGAGTGCATTAGGTTACCCTTTCTTCAAAAGGGCGGCTTAGGTGCTTCACAGCAACACTTGGGCTTTTCCATATTGAGACACAGAGCAGCAAGCTGGGGAGTAAATTTACACTGTACTCACCTGCCATTCACTAAGTCACCGTGTGACCCCTGCTAGTGTGCACTAAATGCACTATGGAACTGTCAGTGCACACTAGCAGGGTCCACACAGCCTGTCAGTGTGCAACAGGCTAGTGCTCTGTAGATTTACCCCCAGCTTGCCGTGCACTGAGCCTCTGTGTTGACAAGTCCATGTGAAATGGCCTCCATTATCATGTGCATTTTACAAATATCTATTTCCCACGTAGATCAGGATGATTTAGCATGGAAATTCCTACATACCCTAAAATAGGTGCTGGAAGTAGGGGAGCAGTTTCCATCATATACAGGGTTTACAGTTTGGTTCAATGGTTCTCAGCACCCCCACTATACAAGTTGCTCCAGCACCATTGTATCCTACCCCTTCTAGGGTGACAAGACGTCCCGATAAAATCAGGGTGTGTCCCATGTCCCGACCGATTGTTGGTCGGGACGCAAATTGTCCCGATATCCATCGGCAGCGGGTTGTTTTTTTTTTTTTGGCGGTCCGCCGGAAGGGACTGACTCGACCTTTTTTTTTCCCTAATTTTTTGCTCCACCGGCAGTCCCAACTCGGGGCTGCGAGTTCCACAGTGCGGCAGGGTGCCTAAGGCGTTGCAGGGCTGAGCATTGCAACACATGCAGCCCCTTGTAGTTCTAGCCCCTGAGCCCATCCTTAGACATCTGATTGTCAGAGGGATCGTCACCGCGTGAGCATCCAGAACTCCAGCCGCAGTGACTGCGAGCAGACGATAAGTGGTGAATAGCGTCAGGGGACAGTCACTCGGAGCCGGCGCATTTCATCAGTGCAGCTGGTGGGTACAAAATATCATGCTTCCCAGGACAGCACCCCAAGGATTGCCTTCTCCAAATCCCACAGCAGAAGCCAGGCACTAATGCAGCTAACAAGATGGATAAAGATACATGACCACACCCTTCACAACAAGGGCAGCACGAAGCCCCTACCAGAGCCCTGGCTCAGAGCAAAGCTAATAAACCAGACAAGGATCTGGCCACAAACTTGATGGCTGGGACCACATGATCTCACACACTTCACAATTACTGTGTGTGACTGTGTCAAGAGGAAATAAACTCTACATCTACCCCCAGCCTAGGATGTGGCAGCAGTAGCCTGGTTTTGCTGGCACTAATGTTTGCTATTAATGTGGCCTGGTTTATACGGTTCCCAAAATTCCTTCATTCTACTAACCTAGTTCATCCTGTCTCCACAGACATCTCCCTGGCTCTCCTGGAGAAAAATCAAAGGCCTAGTCACTCGATCAAGCATTCCCCCTGGTTATTACAGCTGCACTCCGACAATCAGAGAACAGAAATAATACTCTGAGGTGACCAATCACAGAACAGGCTTGAACACACAGAGAACAGAGTTCAAACAATCCCCTGGCCAAAATAGGTTTGTGTGAAATTTTCAAACAAATGAAAGAAAATGCTAAAAATCCTGATTTTTGTCCCTTAAGCTGCGAGTCTGGCACCTGGCATAAAACTTAATAACCTTCAAAGAAATCTTTAAATTATTTGGCTTCTGTACCTTCAGAGCAGCTATAAATAACGCAAGAAACAAAAGGCACACTCCATCAGTTTGTACTGGGGGTGCCTGGTGTCCTACCAAAATGAGTAGTATGGATTGAATGGGACGTTCTAGCCAACCTCCCAGATTCTCCTAGGTAGGCACTGCCCTTTGTCGGGACCCACTCCAAAGTCTACAGTGATTTTTTGCGACTGAAACCATTGTTCGTAGTGGACTGGCCTAAGTATATGGCGTTTGCTTTGGAAAGAGCCTAGGGTTAAAGTTGATCAGGTTTTGTGCCCTTTCTGTGTCCCTGGGAGGGGCAAGGCACAATACAGGGGAGAGGTTCCCACTCTCTCTCTCTCTTTGAAGCATATTTCAGGATAAAATTTCCCCACTGTAGCATTGGAGGATTTACATTCTCCACACAACACAATAAATATGCTAAGGCAGGTATGATTTTTCCCTAGTCCAGCTCACCAGGCAATGCTTAGCCGCACCATTTTCCCCTAACCACTTCTGCATTTGCAATCCATCAAACCTGGCTGCTGGCTTATCATTCACGTCACCACTTCCCCACATGGAAACATTTACTTAAGGCCCAGGACAGACATCTTTCATGATGTCACTGATGCCAACAGCAACCTAGGTCTGCAGTGTTTTGAACAAGGAGCCACTAAAGACATTTTCCAAAGTGAATGGCCGGAGGAACCCTGTGAACTGGTGCAAAGCATTAGTTAAAAGGCTGTGCTTGGCTCGAGACACATTCACACTCAGTTGGGGCAGTTACCACACTATGCATGCTTCAGACTCTCGTAACATTGGCCCATTGCCACAATGGGGTAATGACAACAGCCGCCCGCTGCCCCCCTCCACGTGGGTCTTCTCTGCTTGGCTACCTATTGTTTACATCCTGCTTTGTTAACCACTCCCACACACAGCTCCACTCTAGCACGCAGGTGTACAAAGTCTCCTGCATGGAGGCTCCACCACCTGGCATGCTCGTGCTGGGTTTTTGCTGTACTTCTGCTCTATCTGGGGTTCGTTGGGGGTGGGAGCAGTGCACAAGGCCGTTCAGGATCTCTGGCAATAGGAGCAGTAGCACAATGGCATGTGTTTGGAATGGAGTACTCTGTCTGGCATGATAAACCCCATTTGTTCATTTTGCACTGGTAAGATGTTAAAAAGGAGGTACTTACACAATCTCGTCGTTCTGGAATTCAAGCTCTCCACAAGTATCCTCAAAGTCCTCTCCTCCCCCTCTGGCTGAGCCTTCGATGGTTTTGTAGGGCACAACAACATTTCCTCGAGCGCCGGACGTTCTCAGCACTTTCACTTCCATGGTTCCAATGCTCTCGCTCACATGAGTGACCGGCTCCTCGAAGGTAAAGATGCCTGCATGATCATCATCAAAGATGGTAACGGTGGCAGTGGAGGGCGATCCCAGGCAGGCAAGTGTTGCGACATGGTTAGCCTTCAGAATTCCTTCATCCAACGCTTCAGTGCTCACTTGCACATTGCTGAGGTGAACGAGGAAGTTCTCATCCTCCTCAAAGATATCGTCGTCAATTATGCCAACCCGGATTTCCTTCTGTGTCTCGCCAGGCTTGAAGACCACAGTCCCTTCGGTAAACTCATAATCAGACCCTGCATTGGCTGTGCCGTCTTCTGTTCTGAAGTCAACGTGAACGACATGGGTCAAGTCACCGCCTCGGCGAACAATGGTCAAAGCTACTGTGCCGCAGTTCTCGAGACACTGGTAGGTGTTCTGCTCAAAGTAGATCTTACTAACAGGATCATTTTCCACCACTTCACAGTTGACCTCATGCATGCTGACAGCTTTCCGTGCCTGATCCGCAGCATGTCTCTTCAAAATGTTGCCAGCACCCGTCATTAGCCGAGTAGCCTGAATGCGATAAAAGGCTCGGCTCTTTTGCTGTTGGCTCAGAACCTGGTAGTTAGCTAGTTCTATCAGCTGTTCCATTTCTTTGTCGGGGTGCTTCTGCTTCAGCTCCTTCAGGATTCTAGCCATGTCCCTCCTTGCTTCCTCATCATCTTGATCCTTCTCATCTGCCTCCAGAACCAGGGTGCCATCTAAGAAGTTCTCCACATGAGAGTTAACCACTTTGCCGTCCATTTCAATGTCAGCTTTGGATGATGGCCTGTCACCCTCATGTTCAATGATCATGCCTCGCTGTTTGCCAGCCCTGTACTTCTTGTAGACATACTTGTAAAATAAAAGCCTTCGGTCGGCTACCCACGCAAACACCACACAAATGGGAAAGAAGAAGAAAGTGAGCAAGCTTTCCCAGACCTCCACAACACCGGGTGATATGACAGATAAAATAAGGTAAAGCCAAGTGTAGGCAAAGATGCTCCAAGCTGCCGTCACAAAAAACACTCGTAGATGCTTAATCTTCCTTATTTCTCCATCCGGAACCACATAGACGCATATGGCTATAATGATGAACATGTTGAAGGCGGCACTGCCTACAATGGTGCTCGGTCCGAGATCCCCCGCAGTGAAACCATGACCACATACTTCAATAACAGAAAGTAGAATCTCAGGGGCTGAAGAACCCAAAGCCATCAACGTTAGGTTGGACACAGTCTCGTTCCAAACCCTCACTGTGGTTTTGCTGGTCTCACCATTGGGCTTCTTGATAGTTATCTCTCTCTCTTGGGATGTAATGACTTCTATTGAGGACATGAAGCGGTCAGCTATGATGGATACACCTAGGAACATATAGACCATGGCCACAAAATAGACAGTAGCTCTAGCAATTTTATCACCAAATGAAGGGTCTTGGGGCTCCCAGATAGGTAAAATCACACCTGGTTTGCAAATATATGTACCAGTACATGTAGCGTTCTTTGACGTGTCTGTTGGACTTTCTGCATATGCTTTGTCCACATGGAATAGCAAGAGTGCCACAATACTTAAAAGGTGAAAACCTTCAGGAAAGGCGGGTGAATGACTTAACCTCAACATGATAGCTTTGTCTGACCAGCTTCCAAATGTCTTCCTACCTGCAGATACAAAAGTAAGAAGCGTTACTCAAGTCAGATAAAGATAAAGTATTTGATTGATGTCTTATTTATGTATTGCATTTGAAAAAAAAAAAAATCTAGTGAATTACATTATATAACATGTCTGAACTGTAAATGTCACAATTAAATCCCACTGCTTGCAGATTCACCGTGCATAAGTGATTTACAAAAAGGGGAATTGCTATAATAGTAGGATGAGGCTAGCTTCTGAACCTATGTACATGTTAATAATGGTTAATGCTATTTCTGAAGTAATTCTCTCATTGTTGAAAATCTACTTCCATTTTATGTTAACACATACTACAGAACAGCAAGCAGAAATTTTTTCCAGTTTCAAAATAGGATGAAATAGTTTCTTGAAAGTCAATGTATAAACAAAGAAATTCCCCCAAATTTTTCTGCATTTTGACCAACTCTGTTCAATATTTACTACTGCAAAATAAGTACATGTAAAATCTATCGAGACTGCCACCATAATCATTCAATCCAAGATTCCATTCTACACCCCAAAAAAAGAAATCTACATTAAGGAAATATTAAGGGGTCTCAGTGGACCAATTGAATTAAGAAACACTGAAGTTGCATGTTTAATCTTAACTCTGACCCTCATGCATACATCTTATGACAAAGTCTTTAATGATATGATCACATGCTACTGCCTCAGTAATAAACCACCACATCGTTCATCTTTGCACCTTCCCTGGCGGAAGAACACCGAATGTGTATCCAGGAGGGAGACTCTCCTACTCACTTTCCATATTAAAGTAGTGCTCCCTCCTGCACACCTGGCAAAGTCCTGCAGAGGCTTTTCCGCCCCCTTCATACGTTACAAGGCACTCGGCGTAGGGCTGCACAGCAGTCGGAGGAGTAATTCCCAGCTCAGGTAGATGAAGGTGCCCTAGCTCTGCTCGAGCTAGTGCCTGAAAATAGTCGGATGGCAGCTGTGGCTCAGGCTAACCACCCAAGTATGTGCCATGGGGTTGGGCAGGTTTGTAGGTGGGCAACTAGCCCAAGCTGCCTCCCACGCTGCTGCAGCCACACTGCTGTTTGTAGGTGCTCGCTCTAGAGCCGAGACATGGGCCCGAGTTGGAAATTACACCTCCCATGGTCATTCCAAGAGAGGGTTGCTTAGGGGCCTCATTCAGGGCTCAAAGACCTGATCCTCAGCAGCCATCATTCCATTCACAGGACTGCACTGGTCTCTGCCAGTCCGAGTGCAGGCATGCTGAGCAGCGACAAGGACTGGTGTTGTCTAACATTCATTGATGGTCTGGAAAAGAGGATGGCAAAAATCTGCAGATGGGACAAAATTATTTAGGTTACTGAAGATTGGAGAAGACTTTGAGGAGCTTCAGAGGGACCTAACCAAGCAAGGCGAATGGGCAGCAGAATGGCAGATGGCATTCAGGGCTGATAATTGTAAGGTAATCATAGAAATGTAGGGCTGGAAGGGCCCAGGAGAGTCCAGACCCCTGCTCTGAGGCCAGACCAAGTAAACCTAGCCCATCCCTGACCGGCATTTGTCTAACCTGTTCTTACAAACCTCCAACGATGCAGATTTCACAGCCTCCCCAGGCAATGCTCTCTGGAAGAAGTCATTTGAACTATGCATACTGTGACAGTTGGGTCACAAATGCCCTCAAGACTGTCACTAGATGTGCTGGGATACCACTGAGAACAAACCCCCCCTGCCAGAAAAGGCTTCTCTCCACTCCCGTCTTGCTGGGCTAGACACCAGTCAGCTCCAGCACAGACCAAGAGGTCGGGCCACGCCCCCTTGCAGTTCACAGAAACTAAAATTCGCTTAGCCCAGGGGCTTCAGTTAACAGCAACTTTCCCAGCACCCAGTATTCAGTCTTTCTGGGAGCCTAAACCCCAAATACATCCGTTTTACTCTGTATAAAGCTTATACAGGGTAAACTCAAATTGTCCACCCTCTATAACACAGATAGAGAGAGATGCACAGCTGTTTGCTCCCCCAGGTATTAATCACTTACTCTGGGTTTATTAATAAACAAAAGTGATTTTATTAAGTATAAAAAGTGGGATTTAAGTGGTTTCAAGTAATAACAGACAGAGCAAAGTTACCAAGCAAAATAAAGCAAAACACACAAGTCTAACTTAACTCACTAAGGATCTAGTTACAAATACTAACTTCTCACCCTAGCTGTTATCTCAAGTACAATCCTTTTCAGACCAATGTTGTAGTTTATGGCCTGGGTCCAGCAATCACTCACACCCCCATGGTTACAGTTCTTTGTTTCAGTTTCTTTCAGGCATCTCTTTGGGGTGGAGAGACCATCTCTTAAGCCAGCTGAAGAGACAAAATGGAGAGGCTTCCAGTGCCTTTTATATTCTCTCTTGTGGGTGGAAAACCCTTTGATTTTTGCACAGAAGAACAGCAACAAGATGGAGTTTGCAGCCACATGGGCAAGTCACATGTCCATGAATGATTCAGCTTTCTGCAGGCCGACGCCATTGTTTACATGTTAGTTTGAACTTTCCCAGGAAAGCACAGATGTGGATCGGCGTCTCCCAAAGTCCATTGTTAATTACTTCCAATTACTTGTATTGTCCCTTCACAATACGTTAGCCAAACCTCCCCCATGTGTTTCCTACAGCAAACACTTCAAATACAAGCATAGAGCCAACACATAACTTCAGGTATAAAAATGATACATGCATACAAATAGGATGAATATATTCATTAGATCATAACCTTTGCAAAGATGGGTTACATGGCATAACTGGAATATGCTTTATGCTAGATATGTCATTTATATTTCCATAAACAGAGTGCAACATCACACATATCCTTCACCAAGTTCCAAATTACTGCATCCACTCAGGAAAGAAACCTGGATGTCACAAAGACAAAGCGGTAAAGTCCTCTGCTCAGTTTGCAGCATCCATCAATACAGATGCAAGAATGTCTAGGGAAGGAGATGGAAATATGGAAAGAGATTCTAATGCTACTATACACATCAATGGAATTACCTCACCTCGAATGCTGCGTTTAGTTCTGGTGCCCTAATTAGAAGAGGGAGGTAGCAGAAACAGTGAGTTCAGAAATGGGTGACTACAATGGTAATGTGAAGAGTATGGAAAAACTTCCATTTGGCAAGAGATTGAAAAAGACTAGAATTGTTTAGGTTAGAAAGGATGGTGCTACAAAGAGCTCCTACTATTCTAGAAGCAGATAAAATTCTTCGGGGTTGCAAACTCAGGGAAAGCGCTGTTTTGATACAAGTGATTTGTGGCACGCTTTATTCTTTTTATGCCCCACAGGAATGGTTTATGGTTAAGCAGTAGAAATCCTCAGTAATGATGTTTCAGGCTGTTTGTAGAAAATTGGGTGGGGGAGAAAAAAGAGAGTGGTCATAAAGGAGAATATAGGGTCTATTTGATTACATACCATTTGGAAAGATGATGCTTTCCCCTTTGATATATATTTTTTCTTAGCGAGCTAGACTGTCAGCTCCAAGTAAAGGGGAGTTGGTCATTTTATAGGTCTCTCACTTCTTTGGGGCAGGTCAGAGATAAATGGGACACATGATAAAGGTGCTGTCGTAACAGATTGATTCAGCACCAACTTTGTTTACTATTGATACTGCCAGAGTAGGTTTTGTTTTGTTTTTAAGCATATAGGCTCCAGGGAAATGTTTTGTACATAAGCAGGCAGACCACACTGTCTCTCTAAGTCAGAGTATCTAACTGCAGGAGCAGTTGTTTCCATGCAAAGAATAAAGGCAGGTGGATGTTTTGTTCAGTGGATTCTCTTTGTGGCCAGTCAGATATTCTTTCACATGCACAATTATTCAAAGCCTTTTAAGAAGGAACCAATCATTGTGAAATCCCCTTGGCAAGAGAAGAATGCAGATGGTTGATGAGACAATATAACACTTTAGGGCACTGATTTGGGTTACACAGAACAGCAGAGTCATCACGTTTTGGACCAGCTCCACAATCTTAAGAGGTGGCAAAAGTAGGTAGCTTTGGCCAATAAAATTCCACTACAGAAGATTAATAAATCACTCCAACTTTGTAGCTCCATGGAGCATTTCAATGTAGGGTTGGGTTTTTTAAACCATACTTCAATAGACAGATGTAACAGAGTTTACATCGGAACCACTTTCTGAAGTTCTATTTAGCAGTTTATGTACAAAAGATGTGGTGGACACTTTGAAAGAGGATCAAAACTATTACTACATTTCAGGAGCTTCTTCCCAGGCCCGTTGGAACAAGTGGTTGAAACTAATATTTGCATTGTTTGTAGAGATCAGACAAAACCAGGACCCACAGTATTCACAATCCTTCTCATAACAGGGCCCCAATCCCAGTTTAGGTCCTTGGGTGCTACTGCAATGCAAATAAATCCAATATTATACGGTGTGAGATTGTGCAGAACTGGGGGAGGGGATCCACTGTGGCCCAGGTGCTTCATTGGCTCTGATCCAAACTAGACCCTAGAGATTTTGGGTCCATTATCAGAAAACCCCTCCCCACGCCCCCAATCCTTTAACCACTTTGGGAAGGTCAAATCTATGTTATCGGTATCTGATTCGCCCTGGCTACACTAGCTGTCTGAACGCAATCAGGCTCGGATAGCAGAGTGCCTAATCTCTCCTGCCCAGAGCTGAATGTGCTAGAAGAGTTACAGGGAAGTGGCCTACCTTCCTTTTCCCATGGTCCCCTCCCTTAGGGGTCAGAGCAGCCTGGGGCTCTTTGGGGCCTTTTCCACATGGAGGGCACTTTTAAATGAAAAGGTTGGTCTCCAGGCCCAGGCCAGCCAGCTCTGTGCTTTGGCTGGGACCTGTGCAGAACTAGCCATATTCGGGAAGTGATTTGAAGGACAAGTCATCATGCCAGCCGGCAGCCTGTGCTCCCCTCCACCAGAGGCCTGCGTGCACATTCTACTCATTTTAAGGTTCCTCTTTGAGCA